AACGAATTTTTTTTTTTTTTTTTTTTTTTTCCTTTTCTAATTTCAAATTAGTCTAATTTTAAAACAAAGTATTTTAGTCAGTTCAATTTCAATCATTTTCAAGAAAGAAAGAAAAAATCAATTTCATTCATTTTATGATCGGTTCTTGCTGATCTTTTCCAATTGGCTTGAATTTTCAAATGTCAATTTTGATGACAATTCCCTCTCTGTTTCTTTCTCTTAACCAAAATGATGGTTTCTTGTAGGTAGGTAGAGGCCAAACATCAAGCAAAACCAATCAGCTTAATTATTTTACATGCAAATAGACTATCCTACCATATTTCTAAGATATAGATCACTTTCCTAAAATATGTTTTCTCAACAAAGAGATTAAAAGAAAATCTAGAAAAGTAGGAGGCAAGAGCAAAAACTTATTGAACTAACCAAGAAAGTTACGAAGGTATTGAGAGGCTAAGTTCTCTCCCAAAAACCATTTCTAGTCTACCTTAGGAAAACCCTTCAACCTATTCACTCCATTTATGACTAACCTTTGAATAATTGATGAAACTTTTCAAAGAAAAGATAAAAAGAGACTAACGCTCAAAAATAAAAACTCTCAGAGAGAGAGAGAAAAAGGAAAAAACTAACAATAAAAGCAACCCAGTTTAAACAAATATCTTGCAGAGAAACACCGTTAAAAATAATGACTAATATTACCTAATATCCGAATGTTTCCTTACTACTATTCCTAACAATGTCCTACTTCCCTACAATCATCCAACCTTTCCTTCATGAGCGGGTGTACGATATCCACACAGTCCTATTTATAATTCCGTTGATAGAACTAAAGATAAGATCTTCAGATATGTAGATATCTAGGCACTCAAATCACTAGAAACTTCCTATCAAACTATGAATTTATCCAAGTTCTGGTTTTATTATCAAAAAATATGCACCGTGCATAAAGATCCATATGAAAAGGCTTCATACGAATGTATCTTTCATCACTAGAGAGTATTGAGTCATTCAAAAACAATACATCCAATTGTCAATACAGTCGGGAGAAAATAATCAATCAAGTTTGGTCAGTACGCACTATGCAGTGCATCACGTGAATAAATTTCATTAAAACCAGAAAGTACAAATGGATAGACATCCATGGTTAGGTTCTAAAGGTAAGATGATCTTGCCTTTCCTCATGTGCAACTAATTAACCATTTACAAATGAATATTTGACTAAATAATGAAAATATTGACAACAGATGAGGTTTCTTTCTGTAAGTCCAGAAAAATACTTACAGCAATGTCATTATCAATCGTCTTGGGGATCCCAGGCTACAGCAACTTGCAGACCTCGTTTTGCAACTCCCTTTGGAAGAAGAAAGGCAACACTACTAGTCCAACAAATGAATTGTTAAGGAACAAGTGTGAAATTCTAATAAGAGTTAATACCTGATAAATTAAAGCTGCTCTTCTTTGAGTACCATCGCCGCCAATGATATACGCCCAGACCATAGGAAGACATTAATTTTTTTGAAGCATTCCCTTATTTTTCCTTATTATTTTTTTTTTCTTCCTTCTTTTATTGTTATTATTTTATTTTTTGTTGCTCTCGCTTCTTCTCTGAAATAGACAACTAGCTTTTTACTTGTACCTGATTCATTCCACGATCCTGAAAATTATCAACAGTCTTATTTGTATCATGGCCTCCTAGTGAAGTACGAAGAAAAGTACCCAACATGTTAGAGGATATCGTCGTCAACTTTAGGTGTCAATTTCAATGTATTCTTTGAGTAAAACCTTCTGTATCCTCCCTGATGACAAACAACAGCATAAGAGAATGTGTTTAAAAAAAAAAAAAAAAAAATCAAGTCGGTGAACCAACTGATTAACAGTGTCACGGGCTGAAAACAGAACTATATGTTAGTCCTAAATCACATTGTGTCTATTTCATGAACAAATACAAATTTATTTGAACCTGATTAAGTTTAGATTGGGAAGTAATCTTTATCTGTGGTCAGAATCCGAAGAGGTTAACTGGATGAATAGAAAAAAATCGGAGAAAAAGAGTGAGCCCAAGTCATAGTGGTCATAAATTCAACAAAACCATCAGGCAAGGTAAAAGCCACCAAAATGGAGAAACGAAGAGCGGAAAAAATCCTCGAGAGTAAAAATAAACTTGATGAGGGCATAGCAAGAAAACGATCTACCAGCACGTATAAAATAATGAATAACAGATTACGACTCCAAGGCAACCATTACGTATAAAATAATGAATTTCCAGGGGATGCGATCTACCAGCACCTCGCACCAGAGAGCAACAAAATTTTCACCAGAGAGCAACGAAACTTTCAGAACAAACAATCGGATACCTCCTAAGGACTCCAACAAAAACCTTGTTTGCAGAATAGTTCTTTCGATAACAAGCGATGCTGAGATAATCAAACCTATCTATACCTAGGTAATACATAAGAAACGAAGAGCGGAAAAAATCCGCGAGAGTAAAAATAAACTTGATGAGGGCATAGCAAGAAAACGGGGCCAGTTTCAAACGAAATTGAGAATCTAAACGACATAGAGACCACAAAAAGCTCATAAATTAATATAACAACGAGATATCGAAATGCGAACCACGAGCAAGTAGAATTGTAGGTTGCTCGAGGTATACAACAGCATAATGACATGCAAGTTTTACAATATATAGATATAGACATATGTATAATTCTGGTTAAGCATATAATCAAGAAAAGTAGTACAAAAACTGTGTAATGAACGTTTGAGCAGTACCGGTACCGGTAAGTCAGGGAGAAAGTCAGTCAAGTGAGGGACACTTCGATGCTGAAACCGTCATCCATGGCTCTAGAAGAAGACTGGTCTGCCTTGACAGTGACGATCCTTCTCCCAATCCGGCGGGAACCGAAAAAAATAAGCTCGTGGAATACTGTTGAGATATATTATTTATGGAATATATCCTAGATATTATATCTTAATATTCTTCCATTTATGGTTAGATTTATAGTATATTTTATTTTATTCTAGTATTTAATTATTTTATATTTTCCTCATTTGTACTGGCTTGTATCCTATTTAAAGGATATCAATATCAATGATAATATATACCTTCCCAATTATATTTTCTATCTCATTCTTAACATGGTATCAGAGCACCGATCTTGATATTCTAATATCAAAGCACCGATCGTGATATTCCTAATACCCCCTTGGACTCTGAGTCCAAGGGGAGTATTAAACCTAAAGCCAAACCCTAACCAATCAGTGAAGTCTTTACCATCGTCAATCATCCAATATCAAGAATACGTTATAAGCATCTTCAAATTTCTCACCAAGCTCTAAGGTGACATATTCAAGATGTTCGTATTTTCTTTCACAGCCTCTCAAGTGATCCAAAGCACCGATCTTGGTGTCATTATCCACTAAAGCATTTATGCATGGACCAACAAGTGATCAGGGAGGATATTCACTTGTTCCAAATCAAATTAAATGGACAAGTTACCAATCCTCGAGCCAATCATTGCGGTCTATTTCTAAAGCATTTATGCATGGACCAAGAAGTGATCAGGGAGGATATTCACTTGTTCCAAATCAAATCAAATCGGACAAGTTACCAATCCTCGAGTCAATCATTGCGGTCTATTTCTGAGTCTTGCATCTTTCTTGAAAATTCAATAATTTCTTGAAAGTCTAAAAATGCAAACCAATAAAAGGCAGCCTGAGTCTTGCATCTTTCTTGAAAATTCAATAATTTCTTGAAAGTCTAAAAATGCAAACCAATCAAAGGCGGTGTATATTTTTACGGATATTTTCATTACTGAGAAGACAAGAGTGAAAGACAACTTGGGTGTTATTGACCGTAAAGACAAGTTAAAGACAAGTTGGACGTGATTAACATACACTCTCCAACTTGAGGGGGAGTGTTGAGATATATTATTTATGGAATATATCCTAGATATTATATCTTAATATTCTTCCATTTATGGTTAGATTTATAGTATATTTTATTTTATTCTAGTATTTAATTATTTTATATTTTCCTCATTTGTACTGGCTTGTATCCTATTTAAAGGATATCAATATCAATGATAATATATACCTTCCCAATTATATTTTCTATCTCATTCTTAACAAATACGCATTCCGGCTTCTATGAGCTCGAATGAGATCGCAACGTCGGACTGGAAACTCGAAAGAGAGGTGAAGCGATGGAGTGGAGATTGCAAAGTTCATGGAAGTGGAAACTCCAAAATTCATCGCGAGAGAGAATTGCAGAGGGGGGGAGGTGTTCGTTTCAAAAGGAAACGAAACTGCGCGTGAAGTGGAAGCTATCGGATCGGAGAACAACGCATTGGCGTTGAAAATAGTTTTCTCTAGAACGGGATTGGCCAAAAATTTCCCGCGAGTGATTGGGTAGAGATTTATATAGTGGCCGTTTAATCTTTACTTTAGGGTCCAAGCAACGGAACAAAATCATTGGCTTTATTCTTTTTTATTATTTAAAAATAAAGTAATAAATAAACTAAACTACTAAAAAAAAATACCATAAATTCCTGTTCAAACCAAATATGTTTGAATTCAACACGTGAAGACAAAAATTGAAACCTCTATATTAGCTAGTGCTTTGTTCCAATCTTATGTTACATAAATTTAATTTTGACATCAAGTAGTTGAATATGGTGTCAGAGGGTTGTATTTATCCTTGCTATATGTAATAAATTGCAAGCAAACAGACCAATTGAGTGTTGGCATAAACAAAGTTTAATGCAACATCGTATACTTTTTTTCTTGCTCTAGCAACGTTTTAACTAAATCAATTATTACTATGATAGCTTTGATTATCTTGTAATCTTAGTATATCTATGCAGGTACAATTGACAATATAGTGAATGAAGCGACATCATTAAACTTTTTAATCCTAAGTTCCGTAGAAACGAGTCGTCACGAGTGCTAAGCATCCCAACCTACAATCAGCAAAATGGGAGATTTGAAATTCATTAATGAAGTAAAAATAAAGAAGATCGTACCAAATAACATAATCATTTGTTAAGTTAAAAGCATATAAAACAAGGTTTATAAAATTGAAGTGTAACTTTAAAAGAAAGAACCAAAACTATGCTTCTTCCGTGGAGAACAATGTAGTTGAGGATATATTTCTTTTAACAAATTGAGATATGTTAATGCTAAGTCTTTTGTGATTGTATCCGGCTTAGACTTGAACAAATTGGTTATAGTCAATTTAAACGTAAACTTGACTAATTAATGTATCTAGTCTCAATCAAAAGATTATAGGTTCAAATTTCTACTCGCATATTGTTGCATTCTAAATTTAAAAATGTTATCGGAGTTAAAAGCTTACCGAAGATAAACGGGATCTCTAGAATGTAATTGTGGTTTAGGACGTTAGAAGTTCAAGTTTGAAAATGATCGATTATGTGATTTATGACATCAGCACCTTCTATATGCGCAGTGTGATCTTTCACCTGTCCATTGTATAAAGTAAGTAAGACAAACATTTAGAAAATAAGAAATTGCATACTTGTAAAAGCAGCAGGAAAGGGTTGAAATAATGGGCCAATCACCTGTCTAACCAAGTACTGTAAGAATGACTGACCAGTGTGCTACCAAACAGTAAGCCTAACGGAGAACTTAAAACTGTAGGTTTGAAATTTTGAACTGTTTCTACTTTACATCTAGCTTTGATGTAAACTCTTGTTTTTTGTTTTCATTCGTTAGTCTTATAACATGTCTAATCATACATATGTTTTAATCATTTAGCTTTCATTTTTTTAACTCTTTAAAATCTTAGTAAAACTCAAACATTAAAGAAAAAATTGTGCTTGTGAAAACTTTTCCAAAAGGAAATGGTATGATTGAAAAAAAAAAACGATTTTGAGAGATGGAATACAGGCAACAAAAAGTTTTGGCAAATATGCACGATGCTTCATGACAGAAATCCAAAATGAAAGTGTTTGACAAAGATACTTCAAAGTTTCCCTACATATTTCCGAAATACGTGATGTCCCACGTTGGTTGGGGAGGAGAACAAACCACCCTTTATAAGTGTGTGGAAACCTTCCCCTAGCAGACGCATTTTAAAGCTTCGAGGGGAAGCCAGAAAGGGAAAACCCAAAGAGGACAATATCTGCTAGCGGTGGATCTGGGTCGTTACAAATGGTATCAGAGCCAGACATCGGACGATGTGCCAGCCTTCTCGCTGTTTCCCGAAGGGGGGTAGACACGAGGCGGTGTGCCAGTAAGGACGCTGGGCCCCAAAAGGGGGTAGATTTAAGGGCGGTCCCACATCGATTGAAGGAAAGAAAGAATGTCAGCGAGGACACTGGGCCCCGAAGGGAGGTGGATTGTGATGTCTCACATTGGTTGGGGAGGAGAACAAACCACTCTTTATAAGGGTGTGGAAACCTTCCCCTAGCAGACGCGTTTTAAAGCCTTGAGGGGAAGCTCGAAAGGGAAAGCCCAAAGAGGACAATATCTACTTAGCGGTGGATCTGAATCGTTTACAAAATATGATCACTTAAAAAGTAAAAATGAAGCAAAAAAAAGGAAACCAGACAGCAATGAAATAGAGAATTTAAGCCATTATGGTTGACAAAGATGGGCCCTATGGTAAAGAGTGGAGGCTGTGTTAGCTGTTGTGGAGATATTTATAATGAATTATGACATCCAAGTTTGGGGTTTTGGAAGTGCTAGAAAGTGTGTAACAGAGAAAGAGAGAGCTACCTGAATAATGCTGTGAGCTGCAAGCCTATGTCTTGATTTATGAAAGCAAACATCTACTTTTTCCCATGACAGACGAGATAGACCCGTCACCAATTCCTCTAAATAACAAAATCCGTGAACAAACAAAGGATGTTAGGCAACCATGCTCCTGAAATTTAGCTGTCAACATTGGCATACAATAAGAAATGCATGAAGCTTCAACAACAGAAGAGAGACAACAAACCTTCCAGCCTTTCAGGATAGCTAACTTCTGTTGAGGTCGGTTCACTCGTCTCAGAATTAGTACCCTTGCAGGATTCTTCATAAACAACATGCGGATACTTTTCGTTGACCGCATCTTCCCACTGATAATCCAATAGTTTTGAAGAATAACATGGAAAACGAGTGGTTAATGATCATGATTTTCAAATTCATCAACTGGTTACCACAATATCCAGTAGTTAAACTACTACTACAGGAAAAAGTAGGGAAAAGTACCTTTGGCAACTCGCTTATACGTCTAATTGATGATGTTCTCCAACCAACAAAATCTTTACAAGTTCTTGTAAGGGAGAACAAAAAAGAATAATTTGAATATCGATCTACCTTAAAAATGATATTGGCTAGAGAGGCAGCAAAAGAATAAAAAAGGATACGGTCATAGTCTACATTAGAATAGACAACCCTACGTTTGAATGACATCAACGCAGACCTGCATAGATACAAATTTTTGTGATACTATCATGAAACTCCACTCAACAGATCATATTGAATATCAAAAAGTTGGGATTTACATGAAGTAGTATTCGCCTTGGTCTTCTATCATGCGTTGAACCAGTGGAGGTTTTCCTCCATCATCATCAGTCATAAAAAGGTGTTCGCCTGTTCTTCTAAGTATCCAATGGATAATCAAACTCGCAAGTTTCTCAATAGCAGCTAAGCCAAAAAGAAATGGAACCTTGAAAGATAGACATGAAAAGTTATCTCGTGAATAAAGGGTGAAATATAAAGGCAACTCATGCAATAATCCTGATTTTTTCTGAAGTGCAAGG